TTCAGGAGGCTTGGCTAGAAGACACACTTAACAAGACAAAAGGATGGCAGAGAGAAGTTCTGAACAATGTAACTGAGGGGGAGGGATGATGTATTCTGGCTAGGCGGATCGGACAGATTGTGCCCCCGGAAGTCCTCTCAAATGGGACCAAGGGGAAGGGATGGGGGCGTCGCGATAGGAGTGTATATAATGTTGTGAGCTTGAATTTTTTGGTGTGGTCTCTGGGTTTAGAACTTCCTGTTGAAGTCTCTCACCAGGATCCACCGCACTTTGCAAACTGCTTTTCTATTTTCTGCAGAATAAACTCTTTTTCTTACCAATCCAATTTTGTTGGTATTTTAATCACGTTTCCAACACATTTGAGCCTGCCCTGCTCTCGGGGAAATTGACAACACTCTTCTGGAATAGAATATCCACCATTACCTTATTTAGGAAAAGCAGTGTTTGTAGAAACTTAATTGCTTTCCTGGCCTTCTAGTTTCCTTGCCATTTATCTTGTATATTCTCCTGCAACTGATTGCACGTAATTATTGATTGCACACAGCAGAAATAATTTCTCTGCACAGCTGCCTAGATGTTACAGTTGGATAGCCATAGGCCACGCAAAGTCGCTTCCTCGTCTCCTCCCAATTTATGCTGGGTAATTCTTTTTGTAACAATATTCTAATTCCCTAACTTGCTTAAAAATCAATACATAAAAGAAAAGAAGAAAGCGCGAGATTTTAGGAAAGCCTAGCTTAACGGTTATAAGCGAAACGTCTCTATCAGCAACGCAACGGCGCATGCCCATTTTATTCTAGTTGATGTATCGGTTTGTGCCCGGATGGGTAAAAAAAAGAGAGAGACCCCCTCGTTTGGCCTCTGATTGGCTAATGTCACTCCTTGCTGTCTTCTGATTGGCTATATAAAAATCTACGTTTACTTCTTGTTCTGATTGGTTCCTGTATCTTTCGGGTAGTACCAGCGTCGATTCCTACTCATTCTATCTTATCGCGTATATTTTCTGTTCAGGGATTGGCTACCCAGGGAAACCTTTCTCCTCCTCTTTCTCTCGACAGGGTAGACTCTGTTCGGAAGAGCGAATGAAGTTCGACGGTTAGAATTGGACTGTATTCCCTCCCTCGCGCCTTCTCTTTTGGCCCGCCTCTCGGGCTCCTTGCCGCGAGTAGCCCCCCTTCGCCCAGTGGTTCGGGTGGGAGGTTGTCGGCTGTGTCTGCACAAGCGGGATCTGAGGGGATTCCTTTTTTTTTTCTCCCTCAGCCGTGCGCGCACCTCCCAACGCTTCTGGGATAACGGTAAGTATGGGGCAAGTCGAGCCGGGAGTGCGGCGATTGGCGGTTGCACCTTGGAACTCGCGTGGAGCTACAAGAAAAAAGCGGTCTTGGCTGGGATGGGTGACGGAGAGCTGTGCGGCTGGGGCTATCTGCCTCTCCTCGTCTCTTGTACGGCTCCATGTTGTGTTTGCGCGTGAATGCTCGCTCCGTATAATTGGAAGTGTAATTCGAGAGGGGATTGTGCCGGACTCCGCGCGCGTGTGCCAAAGCCGGCTCCAGCCTCGAGGGATTGGGCCCCGTTTCTGGCACCCGCGTGACCTCTCATGCTGTTGACGGAAAGAGGAGTGACACCGCTGCCCTCGCCTCTCGCGTGGTATTTGGTGCGCTTTACTGGGTGGTTAAACGGGAAAACCACCTCCTACTGACTTTTCTCTCGAAATCTTGGCGATCCACCTGATTATTTTTTCATTAGCTGAAGTATTCGAGAGTGGACTCCGCTTCCTCTTTAAACTGGATTTGCCTGCCGCTGGACTTACGTGTATCTTTCTGCGTGGCTGTGTGAACGGGGCAGATAGTTCATTAAATCATCTCTTTACCTAATTTCGTTTCGTCTGTTTTTCTTCCCTCCATCTTTCAAGCACAGCTTATATAAACCAGAAGTGCTAATGACGGTGTTTTCCAACGGACTGTTCTGATGTTACACATCATAAAGTCCTTATACAGCTGTTTTGTCTTTTGATCAACAATTTTTCCTCCAGATGGAGGCAATATAAACATGGTAGGAAAAGAGAAGAGTTATGGTTGTGGGCTCTTGTTCCTTTTTCCCCCTCGCTACTTTGCAAAACGGGCAAGTCAGTTGAGGATAAAAGTCTTGCGTGGAATTGCAGAAACAGTAAAATTGTTGGTGATTTTGGATAAATGAAATGAAAGTGGCCAGTCAGACTGGAATTTAATATAATGCAAACACTAGCAATAGTAAACAATCCAACCAGTGTCTTAAACTTCAAAAGAGCTGACTTTAACAAACTCGGAGAGAACGTAGGAAAGATCCTATGGATGAAAATCCTAAAGGGGAAAACAACCCAAGAAGCGTGGGAAACCCTGAAAAATGCAATCATAAAAGCCCAGTCCAGCACAACACCAATGAGAAAGAAAAGAAATTCAAGAAGAAACCAGCATGGCTGCACAAAGATCTCTCTGACAAATTGAAAGACAAAAAGGACAAATAGAAAAAATAGAAAGAGGGACACATAACAAAGGCTGGTTATCAGCAGACAGCTAGAACATGCAAAGATGAAGTCAGGAAAGCAAAGGCTCAGAATGAACAAAGACTTGCAACAGAAATTAAGGATAATAAAAAAGTTTCTTCCGACATATTAACAACAAAAAAGTCAAGGAAACTAGGTTCATTAAAGAGAGAAGATGGCAAGGATATAACAGGCAACAGGAAGAAAGCAGAGTTGCTTAACTCATACTTTGCATCAGTCTTCACACAAAAAGAAACTAGCCCAACATACCAAAAAAACCCACTGGAAAAGACTTATTAGAAACAAAAATTAAAATAAGCAAGAAAATGATAAGAAAACCCTATCCGACCTTGGCGAGTATAAATCACTGGGACCTGATAGATTAGTTGACAGATGTTATCTGAAAACCATTGCACCACATCTTTCATAAATCCTGGAGCACCAGAGAAGTACCTGAGGTTTGGGAAAGGGCTGATGTGGTCCCCATCTTCAAGAAAACAAGAGAGAAAAACAGACCCAGGAAACTACAGACCAATCAGTCTAACATCAATACCTAGGAAGATCCTAGAAAAGATCATCAAAAAACAGATCTGTGAACAACTAGAAGCAAACAAAGTCATAACTAGATCTTGACAAACTCGAACAATGGGCCCTATCTAGTAAAATGAGTTTTAATGTGGAGAAAAGCAAAGTTTTACATTTGGGCAGGAAAAATCAAAGGTTTAAGTGTAGATTGGGCGAGACCTGGCTTAAAAACAGTAAATGTGAGAGGGACCTTGGAGTCCTAGTGGATGATCACTTGACTATGAGCCAGCAGTGTGCAGCAGCAACCAAAAAAGCTAATACAATCCTGGGTTGTATAAACAGAGGCATAGAATCAAGATAACGTGCGGTATTAATACTGCTTTATAAAGCCCTAGTAAGACCACACCTGGAATACTGCAGCCAATTTTGGTCACCATGTCACAAAAAAGATGTTGAGAGTTTGGAAAAAATTCAGAGAAGAGCAACTAAGATCAAAGGCCTGGAGACTAAAATATACGAAGAATGGCTGCGGGACTTGGGTTTGGCTAGTCTAAAGAAAAAAAAAATGGAGACATGGTAGCAGTATTCCAGTATCTGAGGGGCTGCCACAAGGAAGAGGGGATCATGTTATTCACCAGAGCACCAGAGGGCAGGACGAGAAACAAAGGTTGGAAACTGATCAAAGAGAGAAGCAACCTGGAATTGAGAAACTTCCCGACAGTGAAGACAATTAACCAGTGGAACATCTTGCCTCCATCACTGGAGATTTTTAAACAGTCACCTGTCTGAGATGGTATAGGTTCTCCTGCATGAGCAGGGGGCTGGACTAGAAGACCTCCAAGGTCCCTTCCAGATTCTATTCTGTTCTATTCTAGGCTTAAAATATACATGTTTTCTTAATATTTTCTGTAACCACATGGGTATTTTTGACAAAAAAAAAATTGCTTTAGGGCATGTGCACCAAAGATGATAGTATGTGCCTGGCTTTTGCCTACATTTCCAAAAGTAGACATGTTTTTAAACATTTGCTAATCTTGCAGGTGGTAAATGCCATCTATAAAACATTTTTCTAAATTTTTTCTAAAACTATTGGGAGTTATGCTGTTCAAAAGGAATGAATACTCTTTCAAATTCTCCCTAATGATACAAGCTGACAAGATAATTTTAAAGTCAACCTAGGCAAAAAGGAGGTCAAGTAAACCATTGGGAGCTTGGATGCTTACTACTTATAGTTTTTCCCAGTTTCCCAATCGTATGAAAAATGGGAAAAATATTTATGTCCTAGGGAGTTTTGTTTTAATATGCAGATTATTATTTTGATTAAAGCCATGATTTGCAGAGTAAAGTAAGGGGAAACAGTATTGAAAGATCATAACTAAGCCTCACAAAAACAGGCTACAGAGATATGATTAATTATAATACAACTGTTTTAGAGGAAGGACTTTTTCTATATAATTTTTTTTCTTCAGTGTTAAAAATATGCCATATAGTAATCTCTCTTCATTGCAAGAAAGACTTGAATTACAATTTTAGCTTATTCTGTGATTGATCATTGTTATCTTAATAGTGGCTTAATGTGACTGAGCAGTATCTATAGTGCTTCCTCACCTACTAATTTCAGTTTCAATTTCTATATTTTGGTCATCTTTTTCTAGAAAAATAATTGCTGTCTCAGAGTAGCTCTTTTACAATAGGCTATTTATATTGGTGGCAAAAAATAAAATCATTCCTGGTAGGATAGTCGAAGGAAATAAAATACTTTTTACTCGTCGTTTCATTAAACAATAGTTACTATTTAAAAAAAAGTATCAAGGACGGATTATGTGTCCCATAATTGTGCTATAATGTGCTGGCATCAAAATAGATAATTTTCTACTGAAATGAAAACTCATCTTCAAATAGTAATTGTAAAATATGACTCTACATTTTAACCATATATACCCATTTCCTCCTTTTTCTGAGTTAATCGGTTAAAAGGATAGGGTATATTACCTGCCAATATAGGTTGCACTTTTAAAAATCAATAAAATTCGTGAACTCTGGGATATAAAATAGCCTTTTTTATTACTGAGCTTTCGTCAACTTACTGTTGACATCATCAGAGTAAGGGCTGAAGATTGGAAGAGCCTACATACATGCTTGTGTGACCATTTTAATGATCAGGTCAGAACATATAGTCAGCACGCCCGCCACCCACTCGCCTGCCTCACTAGTTCCGGCTTTGATGTAAAAGCTGGTCTCGGTCTGAATTTTGAAAAAAACCCACCTCACAGCGGTTTGGCCCATCAATGTCACTGTGCTGCGCGCAGCCGCACATCAGTTGTTAGTGTCCTCGTGAGGCGTGCAATCAGCCTGGTCACCCCCAATATAAGGTTGCACTTTATATTGTGCTTAGACTGAGATGGTGATTCTGTCTAACATTTTTTTTCTGTGCAGTTTTGAAATATGCAAGAGGAATACCACACATAATTTATTTAAGACACTTTGATATACAGGACTTTGAATAGATTGTGTTTAATATTTTGTGCACCTGAAACTGCATCCAAATAGTATAGGCCTTAATACTGGAAATACTTAAATGAAATGATAGATTTTTCCAGCAGAAAAACTTTCTAACATTAAAGAATAAATTCCAGGAATATAAAACAGCACTGGCAAACATTCTTCTTCTTGTGCCATATCCGTTATCGGACGTTGGCGATCATGTTGGCGATCCTGTTTTTATCAGCAGCCGCACGAAAAAGTGCTGCTGAGTTTTGTCCAAACCAATCTCTTAGATTTTGAAGCCACGATGTTCTTCTGCCTGGACCTCATTTGCCTTCAATCTTTCCCTGGAGGATTAAATGGAGTATGCCGTATTTTTCTGGGTGTCGCATCACATGTCCGAAATATTCTAATTTTCGTTTTTTAATTGTTTTGATGATTTCCCTTGGCTTTCCCAGGCGGCTTATCATCTCATTTCTGATCTTGTCAACCCAGCTTATACGTAAGAGCCGCCTGTAAATCCACATTTCAAATGCTTCTAGCCTCTTCAGGTGGCCTTCTGTCAGAGACCAACTCTCTACTCCATGGAGCAGGATAGAAAAAATATAGCATCTGACAAGCCTGATTTTCAGTCTTAGGCTTATGTCGTGACTGCAGAAGATCTTTTTCATTTTGAAGAATGCTGTTCGGGCTTTTTCTATCCTTGTCTTTACTTCAATGGTCATGTCCCAGCTTTCATGTAGATTAGAACCGAGGTGCGTGATCCTTTCAACTTTTTCTAGTGGTATTCCTTCTGAATTTATTGGTGGTAAATTAACGGGTTGTTTGCTGACGACCATGATCTTGGTTTTTGAGGTGTTAAGCTTCAATGGCAAAGATTAAAAAGAATAATCAAGTAGTAGCTTAGAATATTTAAAGTTCCTTTGCACTTATAAAACTATCTAGTTGATAATTTTTGAATACTCATTACTGTGCTATTCATTACATATACTTGGTATAAAATACAGTGGCATATCCTATAGTTTTGAACCTACTGAGCTTGTGGTATAATGTGCTATTGTTGATTTAAGATTGTGAGAATGGTGGGTCTGCCACCTGAAGGATATTGGATTGGAGCAGGCATTACAGTATGCACTACAAAATTTGAGAAGTGTAGTGTTTTAAAGTTTAATTGAAGAAAAATGTTGGTGCAAGAAAGTTGGCTTAGACATTATACAACGTGTCAGAAAGGCTAACATGAAATATTTTATTTAATTCAACAGATGCAGTTTATGTTGCTTTTTAGTCGCCAGGGAAAACTGAGACTTCAAAAATGGTATGTCCCATTATCTGACAAAGAAAAGAAGAAAATCACAAGAGAACTTGTTCAAACAGTCTTAGCCCGTAAACCGAAAATGTGCAGTTTCTTGGAATGGAGAGATCTGAAGATTGTCTACAAAAGGTTGTATTGCCTTATAACCATAAAATGAGCACATCTGAGAAAAAGTAAATGGGATCAGAAAAACAAGTGTTTTATTTCCTTATTATAGAAAATGTTTTTTATTTAATTCATGCCTAAAATGCTAGTTATACATTTTAAAATATACTGAAAAAATATCCAATTATTTTGTATGTGTCCGTGTGTATGTGATAGATAGATAGATAGATAGATAGATAGATAGATAGATAGATAGATAGATAGATAGATAGATAGATAGATAGATAGATCGATCTCCCACCTTTTCAGGTACTTACCACACTGGTACACTGCACCAGTGTATCACACTGGTACATTGCACTATATAAAATAGTTCTGTATTCAGCTGCCATACAGGTTTCAAAAGATGTTTATTCGCTGTGGTTTAAAAAATTACTTCAAGCTAGAATCTAATTTCATCAAATATAGAAAGTCCACCAAAATTTTTCTATACTAAATATACATTTTTCATAGATTGCCATTGTAACAGTTATTTATATCTCTAGCTGAACATTTGTCTGACACCAATTCTTTATGATTTGAATTTTGAAACTGCTCCCAAATCTTAGTACCTGACATAATTTCTTATAACAAGTTTTGTGTAAGTTAATTTATTAATGCTGTATTCAATATAAGGATAAACTTCTATTGAAGTATCCTATTCATTACTTTAGTTTTTTAATGTGCATTAAACATAATGGTGCTTTAAGAGTTACACGGGAGATTGGATCCTGATATGTGTGCTACTTACATTTAAATTGAGATTGCTAAAATGACCACCTGGAGTGATGTTGAAAAGAAAACTGTAATCTCTAATCAAAGATGTTTTGTGACAATTTCCCCAAAGAATTCAAGCATAATGTTTAAGAATTGTTTACTAAAATTATAAATATCTTATTTTCTTGTTCAGTCAAAGAATGGATGCATTTTGAAAACAGAATAGCAATGTTTTTTTTGTTTATTGCCATGCTGTAGCCATATATTTTCATGTGAAATAAAGATCTCAATGATTTATGTTTTTTCAGTGATGGTCAAAGTGTTTCACAGACCCCAAAACAGTGTAATAATCAAATAGTCAGTGGAACATAATGTGAGAACTAATGTAAAATACCTAACTAACTGTATCCTGAAGGGCTGTTTTAATAAAGCTGCAATATATACATCATCACTGTGTGGAAAAAAAAGTGTACTTCCGTATTGATACATAGACTCTTCCCAATTTATGTAACATTCTATTTTAGAAAGACTAAATAACTCATGTAAATATTGAGTTACATAACTCAGTGTTTACATGAGTCAAGTATTTACACACCATGTGCTGAAGACAATTTTTTATGCAGTTTGAAATTTTTAGAAATGATTTATATGTCTTAACCTATAACTTATATAAGTCAGCACTAAGAAACTGATTATTGTCTTCTAAGATTGCTACATTAAGGTTTTTATAGTCTTGTATAATAACCATGCAAAAATTTCTACCATGATTTTAAACATGTTTAATTTTTATTTTGTTTGTGGAAGCAAAGCTATATTTGCCTTTTTGAATGTTTGTTATTCCAAAACTCTCCGTTAAACACACTTCTTCTCAAAGTCAGACTGAAAGAGTACATACAGGAACAATGAAATTGAGTGTTCCTGAAAACATAAGAGGAAATATTTCATATTTTTTTGAAGAAAAACACAGTATTGTGGTGCAAATTCTTCTTTTGGCTTATCGGCATTATTGTGTGGGCACCATTGAGGAACATGTAGAAAAAGAATAGGGTAGCTGCTCTTGTCTTTGATCCCCATTGTTCTTCCCAATGGGTTAGATTAGTAATGAAAGCATAACTGACCCCTTTGAAAATTCTTACAATTATACAACTTTTAATGCCACACTTTTATGGCTGCTTTTCTTGATGTCATAACTATCCTTCTCTTTGTTTCTTCTGGCTTTGACCATCTAAACCTCCCTTTTTTGTAGTTTGGGTTATAAATAGAAACAGAAAGTTGTACTGTACTGTAAATTGATTAATGTGCTTTTCTGTCTTTTATTGTTTTCATTTGGCCATCAATTGTTGGGCACACACCCTTTTGTAAGATGTATTTATTAATCAAATTTATATTACTGTTCATCTCACAAAAAGGCGATCTGATAATTTAAATTATGATGAGAATAAAAACTCACCTCTCTAGAAGAGATCAGAAACTTTTCAACAGGGACTTCCGGTGGCAGGCGACTTCGTCGGTCGCAGCTGTTTGCTGCCTCCCGCCTGTTTCGCGTAAAAGCCGGTTTGACAGCCAGCATCAGCTGTCAAACGGCTTGATACCTTTCCCCTGGGCATAAGGGGATAGGTGAGCTGCCCGGGGTAGGAGTTGAGTTCCCGAGTCGTCCTATATGGACGATGTAGGTGAGAA